ATTGCGTTGCCTGCGACACTTAGTCCCTAGGATCAAACCCTGCCATAAATCCTGGAGTGTCCGAACGGAAAATAGAAAAGTGGCCCACGACTTTTGCCAACGTCGATGGGCCACTTGACTTTAACAAAGCTTAGAAAAGCGGAGATTCCACAGGATTCCCACGCATCCGTCCACCGAACACTTTCTCCGGTCGTTGTCTACCCCACCCTAAAATAACGCGCTAAGGGCGAAATGGAGGGAGGTTGCGACGCACCGGAGGAAACTGATTGGTGATTTTAGAAAAGGAAAAATCATCAATCAGAGTGTTTTTAGAAAAATGGGAGTCTTCGTCGAGGGAAACCGCGGAGTAGACTTAGTGTTTCAATCAAGAAGCTGGTCCTTCGTAGCCTTAGACCATTAGTCGGCACACACGTGCAAAAACCGGCAACGCTAACACCGGTAGTGTAGATGAAACATGTTAGTGATCAATATATCTCAGTGAAGCGCATATATTAGATAACAGCTAATACTGGACGACTTATTCATGAAAATATAACAGTAGGTAGCAATAAAAATTGCAATACTTTATTATAGAACGTGATAAATCTGAATGCAAGACTGACTGAATGCAAAACATAGTATTTCGTATGTTTGTTGTTTTATATGTATATTGAATATTGGAGAATAGGAAAATGAAGATGCTATGACATAGAATGATCTTTACCTGAACGTCGTTGACGATGGAATTGGACATTGTGTAACATAAGGAACACCATCGTAATATTGAAAACCATTTTGGAAGATCCCATGCCAATGCAACGTGATTTCCAATCCTGGGGCCGCATTATTCACATCAACTATAATACGATCGTTCACACACACCTGAAAAAAAATGACAAATTCTTGTTATATTAACTCAATTGTTAAAATTTATACGTAAAAAAAATACACATTATCATTACAAAGAGTATCCTTTTTTCCAATATTCCTTAACTTTAACTAAATGTCTGTTAAAAGAAAATAGAACAATAGCAATGGAATAGGACTGTTGTAAAAGAATTATCGTAGGATACTCAGATTAAATAATATTTTTCGCAAGTGGCTTTCTCGATAGCGAATACATTCTTGCGATCGGATTGAAAAATTCTCCAATACTTGCCACAATCAAGCGGCATCATCGATTCTTCAGTTATACCGGAGACGCTCAACTTCTTGCTCGCGAGAAAATTTCCCCTCCCAAGGTTCCCCCACTATGCGACTCAGATGGTCACGCTCGAGTTGCGGCGTGGCGGGAGGAGGACGCGAGGAGTCCTCCCACCACAACTCCAGCGACTGCCGTTGGTTTATGTTATACATTCTGCGTGTTCGCATCGCATAGTGGGGGAACCTCGGGAGGGGAAATTTGCTCGTGAGCAAGAAGTTAAGCACCTCTGAGTTATACAGTATTGTCGCGTTAGTTGACCGCGGCTCGGGACCACGTCTGACCAGCAATCAAGGGATGGTAGTGTTCTAGGAGATCCCAAATACGTTTCTTCTCCGTTGAGTGCGAGTGGGATACGGATACTGGCCGGCACAGTCGGCAGTCAGCAGCCGGCAGCTCTGTCGCTTGTTTCAGACAGTTATTCACCGCATTGAATAACGAATGAAGGTTCATTCGTAGACAAAAAATAACACTACTAAGGAGTAATTTCCCTTGGAATAAAATCGTTATTCGTTGTTCACAAATGAATGTTGAGATTTTATTCGCTATTTAATAATAAAAATTCGTTATTTGAAATAAAGTTTGCCCAACTCTGACGGATACCTGATATGAAATATAGAGGTCCTTGTTTAGCTTACATTAAATATGTAAGCGACTCCATGAAGCCAGTTCCAGAAACTGGTGGGGACAGGCGACCAGCCATTTAGCAAAGCGAAATCCCGACCAGTTAACGCGGCAGTACTTTTAACTGTACAACAGTGCGTGGTTCGTTGACATAATGATTAATATTATGATTATGAAAATGTTATTTTCCACCATATAATTAACAAATTGCATTATACAACTATTTGTTTAATAAAAATGTGTCGTTACAATTTAACCTGAGTATCGGACAATAGTTCTTTGAAATCGTCACATTCTACTGCCGCGCTCGTTACATATACTTAAATACATACACTGCCGCTCAAAAGTATCAGGACACTTGTCATTTTCTGTGAAACTTTCCTATCCCACGTAAATTATAAATATTAAATCCCATTTTTTTTTATATATTTTTTATATATTCAGCGTATTCTAGTTGTATGATCGTAAATAATGTAATTATTTAAGCCCTTGAAATTGTTAATATTTATGAGATATATCTTCGCTGTGTTTTTCGCGAAAAAACGTGTCCTAAGTCGGAGAAAAATTTGTTGGAAATCTTAGAAATAGTGTGGAGGAACATTACACCTGACACAACAGAGAAATTAATAGCCAGGATGCCCAGAATCGTAAATGATATAATAAAGACAAGAGGCGGATGTATGTATACACGAAAAGAAGATATAACTATTATTTAAGGTCTTTGGTAAGATATTATTTAATGGATTATTTATCGTATTATATACTCCAGTGTGGTGCGAAACAAAACATGTATCATTTAGTGTCGTTCATTAATGGTTTCATAACATTTTTCAGACATTTGTTAAAATTAGGAAATTGTCCTAATACTTTTGAGCGGCAGTGTATATATATACAAGGTGAACCGCTTAACACGATCAGATGATAATATTGTTAGTGATCGAAATTTTTTTCGTTGGTTCAATGGTTCGAGGAGGCCTTTAAGATGATCGTAGTAGATTTTTCATCAGTACAGTTTCTTCGAAGTTTTCAAGATCATTTTTAATTTTTTATAGATGTTGAAACAAATTCAACGAGTATAACAAAACGTATGTTTTTTTATCTGAAGAAGTGATACGACGGAGAAAGATATACGGGAAAAAGTGATTCTGTGATGCTGAATAACATGCGACATCTCTAATTTTAAGTTTCAAACTTATGCAAATTCGCAGTGTGTGTTCAAAGTGGTGCCTATCAGCTGCAGCATACTCACGTAAACGGCAAGTAAATGACTGCTTTGCTCTTTCTATGAAATTTGCATTTGTTTTTATTATTGGGCTATTTTTTTTATTAGGATACTTTTGTTTACTGTTTCTTCAGTTCTTCATGTTGCTTGCCAATCTCATCTCAAGATCTATTAAAAAATGAGCGCAAAAAAATTATAAATTTATCTATAAAAAATTGAAGGTACCCTTGAAAACTTCGAAAAAGTGAACTGATAAAAACGTACTATGAACCATATTATGCGGCACAAGAAAAATTTCGATCTAATTCGAATAATTTAAGATGATCACGTCAGGCGGTTCATGATAGGCCTGTGTATAAATTTTGACTGGATTTAGCGAAGAAAATTAGTAAGAATTCAAAGATAATTACTACTCTTGGAAGAATGATTTTATGCTGAAGGAGTTAATACGAATAAAATAAAATCACTTAAGAAAAGTCAATATTGAAAATCTTTATAAATTTTTATTTGGTGTATTCGACCAAAAGGGTAGTATTTATTCAGTGAAAGTAGAAAAATCGAGAACAGATCGTAACTGAAAAATTTTGTTGTAATATTTACCTCAATTTTCGGCCCTGGTAATTGACGATTAATTGGTATTAACGTCTTCTCCAATCCATCTGCGTAAATACATTGCGACTGGAATTCTTTTGAGTCGCAAGCACTAAAAATAATTACAGTATATTTATAGTCCATTACAATTAACTGTGAAAGTATAAAATAATGGTGTTAAATGCTGTAGTCTGCTAAATAGCGGCTGTGGGAACTTCTAGTAGAGACGGCATTAATGATTTCGCAGCGTAAATAAGTGTATTCGTCGATTTCGATGTGATTTTTAACGCTTTGTTTCATCACACGCAGTGCACAGTATTATTTGCTAGTACTTGAAGTCGTATGTATGCGATTCTATCATTTATCCCTTTGCACTCCGATGGCGCTTTTATGGCGACACGCGTAATTACTTTGGAGAAATGTACAATTCAGACTTTTCTTATATTATTCTCTATTATCAAAATAATGCAAGTTAACATAAGAAATACAAATAAATAAATTCGTAAACACTAAATATCCTTTTTCTTTTTTCTTCAAGACAAGACTTTGGCTTTCCAGATGTTTCACTATTAATTTTGTCAAAAAATGCTCGGAGTGCAAAGGGTTATTTTTGCTGAAGTGAAGTATTATCTCTATTTTCATATTCCGAAATGACGATCTCGTTCTGCAATTTATCGGTTAGAATCGACAATTACGTTGAAAAGTGGTTTCGTGCCCAATTTCGTCCTCCTACATACGGTGACTCCCACAAATATTCGGACACTCTTTAGAACAGTATAACTTTTTTAAAAATTGGACCTAACGACTTGAGTTGTTCTTAGAAGTTAGGATTAGTATACTAGATGACGTGTGCAAAAAAACTTTGAACAATCGCCATTTTTGGGAGTCGCAATGAAAATTGTAAAGGTCACTGTTTACAACTTTGTTATCTGAGCTTGTAATGAAAATTTAAAACATACGTTTTGTAGATCTATGTCAATTTTGCACATGCTGAAAATTTCATCGAAATCGGTTGATGGAGAAACAAACGACAGGCATCGAAAGATGTAAGAATCTTCAGATTTATTACAGTTCGATGAAATTATCAGCACGTGTATCATTGACATAGATCTACAAAACGTATTTTTTAAATTTTCATTACGAGCTCAGATATAAATGTCGTAAAAACGACCTTCGCAATTCCGACTAATTGGAGTTTTTTCAAAAAATTTTTCCAAACGTCGGAATGACGGCAAAGTACCATTTCTCTAAGCCTTATAAAAATAGCGGTGCAAAGTGAAATTTTTTTGACAGCGTTCGATAACCGAGAAGTGACGCGTACGCGTCGTTCACGATAGCGCGCGGGTGAATCTCTGTTCGCCCGTCCCTGAGCGCGGGCTCTACGGGCGCTGTGATTGGCCAGTGTTTTTCGTTAATAATTCGAAAACGAAGCTTCAAGCTACATTTTGGAAAAGGAAAAAGTTGTTCAGAGTCACCCCAGCAACCCCCCATTTCCGGATGTTCGAAGAGTTACGGCATATATAAAAGTCGACTACAAAATTTGTTTCAACTTTTTTCCCACTAGAACTAAACAGATAAAATTAAGAACACTTTTTTTTTGACAAATGAACAAATGCAGCTCTTCACATTTCTACTTTTCATTCCGTTTGTATGAACTTCGTCTCCAAGGTGGTTATGTAAATTTTTTTCAGATTACGATTCAGGGTAAGAGCCAGGAAACCTCTGAGGTACGAAATTTAGGTTCCTTACCCTATATCACCGATACTTAGTTTAATGAACGCATCGTCACGTATAGAAATAAGCTATTTCTCGAAAGAAAAAAAACTGTTACTTTAAAAAAGTTATCGAAACATAGTGTTCAAATGTAAATGGACATCGACCAATTTCGTATAATTGAATTTCGTAACGAGTTACTTTATTTTGAGGAAAGTTATTTTCACTTTTTAAAGTAAAAACGAAAAAAAACATCTTCACTCGACTTTTTATTCGACACACTTTTCGAGAGAAAAAAATGTCTTTGAAAGTATAACGAAACGTCTACAATTACACGTAACTCGAATAACTGATACTACCTAAGTCCTTGACACTTTTAATTATTATATCACTTCTGTGGCTTCAAAATTATGCACCTCAACTGTTTCAGTTATAAATTATTAGATAACAATAATTGCACATGTGATATATTGCTTAATTATTGCACGATATATTACACGATACGAATGCGATATTCAATCCGAATATAGAAACTGGCAAAACGTACGATATTAAGCATGGGGAACTAAGAACAGCAGTAATACTGTAAAAGTAAAGTATGTACAAGGTTTTGGAAAATTATATTAAAAGCTTGAAAAGTACTCTGACAAAATACTTTCAGTTACAATTTAAATATAAAAAAATTGTCTACAGATCATATTAATACGTACGGCCCAACCGTTGTATAGAATTCAATGTGGAAAGAATAGTAACAATTTTTAGGTGGCTCGTCATCTTGGCAATCCCGTGCACATTCCTCAGGTGAAGAAAGTGGTATTGAAGAATTGTAATTCTCATCCCAGCCATGGTGCCAGTACACTATACGTAAATTAAGTAATGCGTTTAAAAATTAAAAGTCAGAAACTAGCAAAATGAAAAAGCAAAGCGCGTCATTGAGGGTATTATTCAAATTATCGAAGTAACTAGATAGAGTTTCTTTTACATGTGTCTTACTTACAAAAACTGTGCGCCACTTGTGTATAGACCTGTAGAATCATCAAGAACGCGTAAAACTTCGACATGTTTGAAAACATCCGAGTGATAATAAAATGAAAGAATATTGTGTTTCTAGAAAATGATTTTTAAAGCACAAACAGAGGATAGTCAAATTTATTGGCCATTCTTCAATTGGCTACTAAGTTCTTCTCGCATCAATAGTACCAATTTATGGAAAAACAGCGACAGTTTAATCGCTGTAATTATCTACTTACATTTCCGGGTATCGATTCTTTTTTAATTATACTGTACAGCGTATCAGTTGAAAGCTTTCAAACTTTTCTTCTTTCAAATTATGCGACACCGTCGAGGACATTATTTAATGGATGCGTATGAAGTATACGTACCGTATCTAAATTATATGTAAAATATATTCAGCATACGTGAACAAATCAAAGTAACATAAAAACTTACTTACTATAACTTACATTATCATACAGTAATAGGATATTTGGAATTTCAACTTTGAATATATTGTGTGAATATGTTTTGAGTATAGAAATAAGAATAATGAAGTAAGGGTCATTTAAATTGTACTCTGCGAAATGATATTTAACAATTTTTATTCATTATCGCATAAGTAGATGACGAATTTTATTTTATTACTTATAGAGGGTAATATTTATATGGTATATAGAATACACTGTACTGAGTAAAAAAGCCTTAGTAAACATAGTTCGAAAGGTCAACCGTTTATGAGATATAAACATTTTTGTTTACTAGACAGGAAAACATTTTCCACGTGTCCTCCTTCCATTTTTATACACGCTTGGTATCTTCTTCTTACAGAGTAGCGAACTCTCTCGGAAATTCCACATCTCTGCCGAATTATTTGACAAGCATGGTGAATTCGGTTACGTAATTCTTCTAAGTCATTTATCGGCGAGGAATACACTTGGCTTTTCAAATATCCCCATAAAAAGTAGTCCAAAGGGTTTAAATCGGGGGACCGAGGGGGCCATGCAACTGGTCCACCACGTCCAATCCACCTTTCTCAGAAACGGTTGACCTTTCGATCTGTGTTTACTAAGGCTTTTTTGCTCAGTACAGTGTGTTCTATATACCATATAAATATCGAATGGTTTTTTTTGAACACCCTGTGTAATTCCTGTAGAAATGAAAAATCACACCGCGATTATTGAAAGAAAATTGAAAATTCAAAGAAAATGAAGAAACTGTTTAAAGGTATCGTTATATTGTTATTGAAATATTTAAAATTCGTTTACTAAATTATTTCTTAACTTAAAAAAAAAAAAAAATCAAGAAGTCAGGTTTTACATGTTATGTCATGTACATGAGAAAAATAATAAAAGTTATCAACTTTCGACATTAAAGCTAAATAGCTTTTACTCATTATCAGCACACGTGTAGCTATTCTTACAGACATAATGTATCACAATGACGTCAAGAACGTAAGCGGTGTTACTAAAAAAACATTTATAAACTTTATCTATATTTTACATAGTTTTGTGTCAACAACTTTTTTCATTCAGATAGGCCAAAAAAGACATTTTGCAGCACTATTATTTTAATAAAGTTATTTTAATAAAGAACATTTAATAGATTTAGATTAGAAATAAATTTATATTATACTTAGAACATAAAGGTAGTATGTGTTAATTATTTATATTATGAAGGAAAACAAATTATCCTGGCTTTAGAAGATTTTATTAGAAACCAATCTTAATAAACATTATACTTAAAAGTAGCAAGTGTCCAATGATTTACAGGCAGGAGTGTAGCTATTTTTACATAAATACAGATTACGAAAAAACGTATTTGAAGGTAAATCAAAAAGTAATATCCTTGGAACTTATAAACAAAAAATATTGCGAATATGGACGAATAATTTCATACCTACTCTCTATACTGTGTACACATTAACAAGTAGTAATTTTGTATTAAGTTGATCGAAAAGTTCTGACATTAGTTTTCACGTGCACATTTGCAACTCCATTCAAAAATTTCCATAAATAATAGAAAATGTAAGTATACTCATTCTAATTGTCGAAATATGAATTATAAAAAGAGGGTGCTATATTTCTGAAAAAGCTACTTGGTTTTAATAATTTATTCATAAATGTCTACGATAAAGTGCACTTTTGGTATTAAATTTTACAAGAATAGAATAAGTAAAGTTGTTGGATACTTGGAGAATAGCGATATATATTGCATCACAGTTTAATCAGTAAACGTTTCATTGGAACAACCTTGGTTTGCTTTTTTTTTTAAATAAAACGACAGAATTTTTCGATCAACCTATTTTTCTTTACGTCAGTTGATTTATTTTGCCAGTTTCGAATTTTATTACACCTATACATACAAGGAAATCAGTTTTTGTTATACACAAATAATTTAATAATAATACGTAAATCAATTAATAATTTGCATTTTTTTCTTTCATGTTATTAGCGAATAATAATGTTACAGTTATTCATTACGTTTTTACAAATCTCGTTTCAAAAAAGTATAACTCGCGCATGTAGAACATATAACTTTATATGTTATATAATAAGAAGCTCGTGTTTTATGAGGAAGTAAAAATTTTTTCAAGTAATTGTAATCTCTTAACTTAAAATTGGTGTAATGTTTTTCATACGTAATACACGTCAAGTGTAAATAACGTATGCTAAGGAAAATAACTAAATTGATAGGACAATCTATCACTTTATGGTTACATTAGTATCTGGAAAACATGTTTTTCCCCTTTCAGTTTTATTTTAATGTGTTTAAAATATGAGGTATGAACAAAGGTGTTATTTTTTCATACTAAAAGCATTGTATATTCTAATTCCAATTTAAAACTTAAAAATATTTTATTTTTCCACTAAATTTTGATGATTCGTAGATATAAATCATTTTCGCGATAATTATTATACAAAAAACAAAAATGCATCTTTCATATACAAAATTAAAAATGCGAATTACCACGTACGTTGGTTGGTCAATATGAATAAATTCGTGGTAACAGTATTGCGTACAAAAATACGACGATATTTCTCTTTGAATTAAATTTTTATCGTATTAAGATGTATATAAAAAAGCAGAAGAACCGATATATCAAAATGAGTAATAATTTTAAATCACCGCAGAATATGCGCCACTAGCAAGTAATATATTGTAAGAAATCCATTCCCGATTTTTAAAAGTATAAAGATTTACAAAGACTTCGTCATATTTTATATATGTTGCTATTCAATTTAGGAATAAGATCATATCTCATTCTTCGAGGAAAAAATATTGTCCAGCTTTTTTCTGTTCCAAGTCCTGTTAACAATAATATGAAATGTATTTAAAAAAATAGATTACATAAAGAACAATAAAATATTCAAAATAAAGTAGCATACTTTGACAGACTGACTCTTATTAATCCTCGGTCTGAAATTGTTTGGATCCCTTCTAAAAGTAATACCTAAAAGTTCTAAAAATCTATTCATTCCATTTAACAAAGACTGCGGACTGTGAGCTGTAGTTGACAAAGATGGAACACCAGAAAATACAATCACACGATCAGCTAAATACGTCGCCATGATAAAGTCATGTTCAACTACAAATCCTGTCTTTTTTGCATGCAGTATAAATCTAAAATAATGATATAATCTTGATTATTTTGTAAAACAATAATTTATCAAAAGTATAAATAAAAATAAAAACATTTTCAATTACCGTTTTATTACTTTAGCTGCAACAAGACGTTGCTCAGAGTCTAAATAAGCAGAAGGTTCATCAATTAAATAAACATCGGCAGGTTTTCCAAGACATAAAGCTAAAGCCACTCGTTGTAACTCTCCTCCAGAAAGATTCTGTACTTCTTGATCCATGATATCATCGATTTTTAATGGTTTCATAACATCTGTTACAAATTGAGGATGAACATAAGCATCCCTAATCTTTTCATGTAATAATTGTCGTACAATTCCTTGAGACTTAGGGCTAATTTTTTGTGGTTTGTAACTAATGTGTAATTGAGGAATACTTCCTATAAAGAATAAAATAATATTAATTAGTAGCGATGGTATTTATTTTTTAGTTTGACATCTTATGATTGCATATTTTTGAATTAAACAAATCAAACTTTACTTACCCGACCCTTCATTGGGTGGCAAATTACCAGCCAACATTCTAATAAACGTGGTTTTCCCTGTTCCGTTTTCACCTAATAGCACAAGAATTTCAGAATCTGTGAACTGACCCTTTTCAACATTTAATTCAAAGGATCCCATTGTTTTTGTCATCGCAGGATATTCATAATGGTTCATACGTTTAACTTCCTCTTCAGTCGCACTTTCGGCTACTTTAAAAACAAGAGATTCCTCGCGGAATCGCAGATTTTCTGTTGGCACGAAGCCATCCAGAAAAATATTTATACCTTCTCTAACGGAAAAGGGCATAGTAACAACGCCATATGCTCCAGGAACACCATAAAGACAACAAATAAAATCAGACAAATAGTCCAAAACTGATAAATCATGTTCCACTACTATTATAAACCTATTAAATTTTAATATTATAAATTACATGAAAAGAAAATGTATATTATAATGAGCTACTTATTAATACTACTTACTTATCAGGATGAATAAGAGATCGAATCGTTAAAGCTGCATTGAGACGTTGCTTTACATCCAAATATGAAGATGGTTCATCAAACATAAAAATGTCTCCATTCTGAATACATACCATAGCACATGCAAAACGTTGAAGTTCTCCACCAGAAAGTGCATCAATACCTCTGTCACGTATATGCATTAAATCTAAAACACAAAATTAGTAATAACTATAGGTATGTTATGTTACAAACAGGTAATAAAAACAATGTCTCTATACTCTAGTTCTCTCTTGATACAAGAATTTTATAATACATACAAACACTTTTCCCTCATACTCTAGCATTCTTCCTACATGCATCTATCGCTCTAGACTGAAATCCTATCACTCCTACATATTATATTTTGCTTATATGTTTATAATAATATAACCTTACCCAACATTCTACAAATATCTAATTGATTTCTGCACTCATCCTTTTTATCTAACAGCTGTTGTACAGTGCCTTTTACAGCTTTAGGGATTTGATCTACATATTGGGGCTTAATGAGAGCTTTTAAATCATCTTCCAATATTTTGGTAAAATAATTTTGCAATTCACTACCCCTAAAGTGACTTAAAATTTCTGTCCAATCTGGTGGATCCTGCGTTAATTTAAAGAAAAAATTTAATAAATGAATTAGGTTTATGAAAAAAATAGTTTATATTGTACAAGGAATATGTATACATACAGTATATCGACCCAAATTAGGCTTCTGTTTGCCTGCCAAAATTTTAAGAGCAGTTGATTTACCAATTCCATTAGTTCCAACCAAACCTAATACTTCTCCAGGACGTGGAATAGGCAGTCTATGTAGCTTAAATGAATTCTTTGAATAACGATGCGTTGTTTCTTTTTCTAAATTGCTAGGAAGATTAATAATGGATATTGCTTCAAATGGACATTTCTGAAAATAAGAAGCAACACCATTATAGATTTAATGTACTTCATTTTTATTAACATCTATATATACATACTAAACTTACATATTATTAAATTAACTTAATAATAACCAAAATATTATATATATCCGTATATACAGGGTGGACAATGCAACTTGATCACCTTAATTATTTCCATTATTACTGGACCAATACTAATTTTTGTTTTTTCAAATACTTTGGTTTACAGGGGCCTACATGCTGATTGCAGTACATGTTTTGTAGGGTTTTTTTCTTTTTTTTTCAAAGTTATCAAAGTCACCTTTAGTGTTTTGAATGGAACTCCATAATTTCTTTTGCCTATCTTTTAATAGACAAAAAGACAAATACTGCAAACACCGCAACATATTTATATATATAATACATAAGAATATATATAACATATCAGTTGATTGATGACAGTGTACTTTTTGAGATACTAAATTGTTCCCAGTTGTATGGACCATCATAAATATCAACATTTCAAAAATGATTACATTAATTTTCAAATAATTGTTTGCATACCTTGACACAAATACCACATCCAATACAAAGTTCTTCAGATATTGATGCTATCTTACTATTTGGATTAACTTCTATACAAAGTTTTCCCATACGTACTACTGGACAAGACCTTTTACATTCTTGTCTGCATCGTTTTGGTTTACATTTATCGGAATTGACAATCGCTATACGAGTCAACCGATCTGTTTCCTCCATTGACTTTTTTGGTGGCATGATGATAAAGTATTTATCTGCTTAAAAATTATATCAAAGTATAAATTTATATCTATCAGAAGACTACTTAGAGATCACCTAAATTCTAAATACTAATACTTGTAAAATATTAAATTCAATAAAAATGAATAAACTATTAACAAAATAAGAATATATACATAATGTTTAAAATAATATCAAAATAATTCACTCAACACATCATATTTCAAGAAAAATAAAACAATTTTTTAACAACAAGTATTCTTGTTAAATCTGAAATATTATTGAATAATTAAACTGTATAAAAATATGATAGTTTGACATATGTTCTACTTATATCCCATTGAAAAGGAATAGTCACTTGTACAGTTGGGGTATAACATAAAAGACATTTAGCTAATATGAATATATTATTAAATAATCTTCGAATTTCGCTGAAAAATTTGGATTATTCATTTGTACACCTAATATTTTCTTTCGATATTTTTTTCTTAAATATTTAAAATTTCTTTCTATATAGGGTGTTCAGTGTGTACCGGTCGCCATGATTTTCGAGACATTTCCGATAGTCTGACAATAAAATGTTATAAACAAAAATTAATCGGTGCTCGATTGTTAACAAGTTGTAAAAATATTTTTTTTTGCAATAAAAAATCGTGCTAATTTTCACTTTTTTAAATGGTATCATACGACTTTTTCTATACGATATTGTAGGTGCAAAGATACTTTTGTTCAATAATTTGTTGAGAAAATCTATTTCAATGTTACGAGGGTCCTTATGAACGCGTAAGTCAAACATTAATGTTATTCAAGAATGCTTTATCACTGAATGTAAACAATAAACAGACTTATGCGACTAAGTGTGACTTACTAAAGCCAAAGTAAGTGCTCTGATAATCTTGTCTAATCGCCGCATGTACACAACTGGCAAGTTCAAGAAGCATTTAGTAAAAATGCGATTACACATCATGAAACGTTTTGTAAAAATACAATTACATATCATGAACAAAAGATCGAACGTCAGATTTTATTTAATGATACGTGTATATTTTTTATCTATAGAATAATGGAGCGTGACGGGACGTGTTTAACGATCTCATATGTTGCATAAGTTTATTGAAAAATGCGAAAATTAACTTTAATATCTAGAAATTAACTTTAATGACGCCGTATTGGCGTCAACGTATTGAATCTAAGTTCGAAAACCGGTTCTGTTGAAACATTTATGACACGTTTTATGCATCTGTGCTGCAACGATGTAATCATTGTATTGCAAACAGAGGAAGGCACTTTGAGTACTTAGTGTAGGTCAGTGATCGATATGTTTTCACATTGTACACAACTATCTATTTGTAATAAAGAAATGGAAGTGAAAACAGAAATATTTGAGACATAAGTGCACTTTTGTCACGTGATTTATGACCCACCCTGTATACACAGAGCGTTCGTCTATTTCTGGGAGAAAATTTAAGGGATGATTCTAGAAGTCAAAATAAAGAGAAAATCAAGAATAAAAAAATTGCGTTTGAGGCTTCGTTTTTCAGTTATTGACGTTTAAAAATATCCCTTTAGCCGGGCAAACCTCCCTACACCAAAGAATATAGGGCACGTCAAGACACGAAGGGTACAGTGATCCTCAAAACTTACGATACATTATAGAATTATAGACAAGGTACAGAATAGACTTAACACCTAATGCATTTTTTTGCCCATGTCAGGAGAGCTGAGAGTGCTTACCATTTTCGTGTCGCTTCCAATGTTACCGATTCAGCATAGAATAAGATTACAACATTAGTAGTGGTTGGAATTAGAACTAAACGTAACTATGAAATTATAAATAAGGTATAGCACAGGATATCATATAATCGTGCACAAAGTATAGAATCCTATACTTCTAACAAAAGTATCCGATTCAACATAGAATAAGATTACAACATTAGTAGTGGTTGGAATTAGAACTAAACGTAACTATGAAATTATAAATAAGGTATAGGACAGGATATCATATAATCGTGCACAAAGTATAGAATCCTATACTTCTAACAAAAGTACTGTCCGGCAAAGCAAACCTAAAGTCTCTGACGTCATCGCATGGCTAGATGAAGGCGAAATAGGCGGGTCAGGTCATCCCCACTACTCTTGGTCCTTACACTGCCGCCGCTTGAGGAGAAGTTGCATTGTAGGTAAATGGTTTAGACTTTAGACAAATGAATTTCAGTCAGCTGTCGATAATGTTGCACGCTGATAAAAGAATGGAAAACTAAAAATCATTTAGTCACCTTGTCCTCTTACCTACGTTGGCGCGTAAGCCATATTTAATAGTGCAGACGTTAATTTCTAAGCGACTCATACACAATAAATTGTTATTCTAAAGGAAGCCTCAGGAGAAGTATTAATATTTTTTAACAGTTAGAAAACTGAAATGT